ATTCCATTCACACACAGAAGAAGGCAATGGCAAACCACTTCTGGATCATCTGCCAAGAACGTATATGAACAGGTCCCAGTCCGAGAAAAGGATGGAAGGATCCTGTTCATATGGACCTGGCGTCAGACAGAACACTAAATAAAATTAATCGTAACCTTATGAGTTATATTCTCGGTCACAGGACTGCTATCCTATCTGCGAAGTTTGGTTGACTTCAGTCCCTCCAAAAGAATGTTTTGATATTACATGGAAATATACAACTACAGCATTTCTCTAATTCAAAATCATGCACTATTGCAACTCTGTGCAATTAATCTAGTCTACAAAGTGTCATTAAGTAAAGTAAAGATTGTTAATTTCTATTTCATGATTATCTTCCAACCTCGTTTGTTGCTGCAATAAATCTGTACTTAACACTGCGTCGTTAAATAATCAAATAACCGTATTCAGGCCTTATCTACATGTAATCCATTAATAGTTTACGTGATCAAACAACGGAAAATAGGGGTTTCGATTAACTAATTCATGCATCAGAATTGCTAAGAACCTGATAGTCGCTCAGCTGGTCAAAACATTTCCCGGGAAGGTTCAATACCGTGTTTACAAAAGCCCACTACCGGTCCCCATGAGTCCACATCCCCAAACCGTATATCTATGATCTATTTTAATATTATCTCCCGTTTTCTCTTAGGTTTTCCGAGTGATTTAATACCTTCAGGATTTACAACCAAAATTTTGTGTGCATTTCTCATCTCACGCCCTCGTTTTTCATATTCTTCAAACGCCGAAAAGCAGTATAGTATATAAAAGTGGCAACTTGTCTGCCACGTATGTGTGACAGGTAGTCTAAACCCAGAGTTGCAGGCGTTCCATAATTTTTGTTTTAATTGGAGTTATCACTAAACAAATTAAACCATTCCTCACCTTCCTACCGATTTATTTTTAATTTCGCTAAAAAAAACTGTTATAGTAATTAAATAAAAAAAATGAGATTGGTAAAATGTGTAGAACGATATTAAAATATATCTGTAAGATGGTGATTAATTGTTGATTTCCATGATACGCATCTTTTAAGTGGTCTGAGTGAGTCAGGTACATTTAGAACTCAAAATTCGAAAACGCATGTGAAAACTCTTTATATTTCACAATTGCCGATTGACATAAATCAAGATTTGTCAATTAAGCTATCAAACATTTTAAGTCAATAAATGTGGTTTTGATGTTTTATTTCTAATTTTTTTGTGTTTTATTCCATTAAATCACAGCGGTAAAATGTATATACCGCATTTTGCAATCAGCTACTCTAAATTTTTCTCAAAGATAAATAAAACCGCGGAAGGTAAAAGCGCGTATAACGAGAGTCATTTGTATACGCGATAAATGAACACCCAGATAAAAACACACTTTGACAATGTGAAATTAAAAGTGTAACACCTTTCAAATCGTCTTTTAACTACGCAGGAAACTAGGACATTAAAAAGTGTTCTAAACAATCGCTTGTGGTCATATTTTGTAGAATATTTCGTTCAGTTGAATCTCTCAATAGTGTCTACTGTAATATTTTAATTTTTAAATATTTACCAACCTATTGTACAGTGTAATGACCCTATATTTGGATCTGTTCTTTGAACACTAAACAAACCCACAGAGACGAGGTCTGACTTGTAGACATACTAAGTCGTGTTTGGAAAATCTGTGAGTTAAGGATTTCAGACAGCTGGCTGTCAAAATCCCCCGTCTGTCATTTGTTTGCTCAAATAATTCACGTGACTCATGACAAGGTAGATCCGGGAGCCATAACTTAACTAATGCATATTCTTAAAAGTTTTTTCTCCCATGTTAAGAAGAGCGAATTCTAGGCGAAATGGAATAGTCAAAACAAGACAGAAAAGTAAGTTAGGAAATATAGAAACATTTGTTAATGTTGATAATATTTAAGAACAGCGAAATATAAAGTTCCTGATATATATTTTATGGGTTTTATATTTCGCTGTTCTTAAATAATATTATCATTAATATCTATATCAGTGATAAATTCATTAATCGAAATTTTTATAATTTTATTTTTTAAATTTACAAGCGATATGTTATCACTTATTGCCTGCTGCTAGTTGTTTCAAAGTGGTTCCTCCCTTAAGTTGACAGATGACAACTACGGCCAGACTGCACTGACTTCGAGGGATATTAGAATTCAGAGTGGTTCTTTGGTAGAGGCGGATCGATGTCTTGAGGGGTAGCATACGACTTCAGACTTGCACGTGTTCGGCATTCGATAGGAATGCGAAAAATTCTTTATCCAACCGAATGCTAAAAAATAAAGTTCCCTCGTACGAAACATTTTTGTATCTGTGGCTTTTAGGTTGACGTACTTTCTTCACAATTCAACTTGTCTTCAGTATGAAAATCCTCACTATAATAAAACCCAATTGATTCCTTTGTAACTTCAGCCAGTTTAATCCACTCCCATATCTCAATACCATATCTTCAAGGTCTTCAGAATTGTCAGTACCTAAAATTCAATATTTTTGACCAAATTATATTATTTATAATAGTGTCAGAATTTTTATATATTCACAGACTTGAAAGACAGAATTTTTTTCCAAGAACCAATTTCCTTATATCCCTGCCTAACGTAAATAATAGTCTTAAGATCGAATTATTACTAACACGGCTTGACTCTTCGTTTAGAATTTAAAAGTTTTTAAAGTTTTTATAAGCGGTATCAAAATTGAAGAGAAGTTATAATCCGAAGCATTGGATTTTATTTGAATTCCTGATGCTCGAGCAAATAAAAGTACGTTAGTTTTAAGTCATCATCATTGAAATTGGGGCTTCTCAACTTTTGACGTTCGAGAATAACTTATCTGTTAGCGAATTGGAAACTTTTTTTATAGTAAAGATAAGAGAAAGTTAACTGAAGTGTGAGATATTACAGAGAAGTATACGGGCCTCTCACAACGGACTCTTCTCAATAAAAACTTGCACAGTCAGGTCTGTGCTATATCCCAGCCAAGGCGAATGGTTATGTGGCGAGAAACGGAACTATTCATTCAGCACGTATTGCTATAGAAGAGTAACACTTCAGCGCCATCACGCTCTCTAGATAACCACTTGCTTTTGTCGGGATATAATAACTATTTCATTTTCATGTAAAAACTATTGAAAGCGATTTAGTGTACCAGTAACAAGCTAGACATGTAATTGGAGCGTACGCGGTTCGAATCTCGGCCGTATTATCGCATATCCTCATAGATTCTTTAATTTCTCCGAACTTAAACTGGTCTTAATTTCTACATGAATCCTTGGTATATTTCCAAATGTCAGTATGCTGTATTTCTGAAAATCTAAGGATTATTACAGACAGTAGTTGATTGATCATGTTACTTAACGACGATGGAAAAGTGATAATGAATGGAAAATATGGTATTATTTAGAGCAGTGGTATTCAACCTGGGGTACGCGAAGACATCTTAGGGGGTACGTGAAATTTAAAAAAAAAATTATTTCACTGAATAATCAGTAATGTAATCTATGTAATTTATTTTAGATGTAGATTATATACTATGTATAACTTGAATTATACACCAACAACTTTGGGGGTACAAAGTTGAAGAGAAATTATATCTGGGGGTACGCGAACAAAAAAGGTTGAATACCACTGATTTAGAGATACGAAAAACACGGACGCCTTAAGACATGTTGGACTGTAATCCATCCAATTTTCGAAAAGGATCAATTACATATATGATTGGATTATTTTGAAATGACAGAGCTCATCACTAAGATTTCTAAGGATTTTACCTTCATACACCTAGAGGGATTCGAACCCACGATTAAAGATGTTCGCGTCGCAACAGAACAGTTACTGTAATCTGTACATTCAGTTGTTTTTAAGGGATTTTTGCCTTAAAAAAATAATTTTACTACACACGGATTTTATACGCGGTCATTAGAAGGCAAATGCGCGTTATGCCACTCTTGTACTGCGTTACGTAAAAGAAATGGACTTGCTACGTAATCTTATGCCCCCCCCCCCACCTCACTCATCTGAACCTAGATCTTCCTGTCTTTTTCGTTGTCGGATAGTGCAGACTATACACAACAAAAATCTTACAACTGTTCATAAAAATGATAGTTTAGTATGTTGCTTTATGTTGTATTCATATAATGTCGTATAATATTATTCATCTAGATAACAAAACGTAACAGACGGTCACTG